CGGCTGCCCGGGTGACTCACCGTTGCGTGTGCAACCGCCGCCGGGAGATGGAATGGGATTTGCGGGATCCGTGCGGCCCGCAGGGAGCTACGGATGCCTTTGAGGGTGCGGTTCCCGTTGGAATAAGCTGGCGCCTGAGACCGTCGCCTCCGCTCCCGGGAGGTCAGACGGTTCTGCAGATCCCGCCGCTGGGCCGGCCGGGCTGAAGGTTCATCCCGCTTGGCCGCACATCGAAAGGGAAAGTGGTAGCTGGATGTGTACAAATCAAGTTTATGAGCCCACGGTCCAGAGTAAAGAAATAAACCTTTTTATGTGTGTTTATGGGTGACATCGCCGCAGGGTTCCACTCCCCTTTCGGTCCGGGGAACTGAATGCGAGTTAATTACATTCTTACTGTGTGATTAATCCTCCGGCTCCGACCCGTGCGGCATGGACGGTTCAGGGGTTGCGTGTTGCCAGCTGTGTCCACTCTCTTTTCTTCCTCTTTTTAAGGTGGTTGCACAAGCTTCAAACTGTTGTTTTTTGAGTTTCTGCAAAGGGGATCTAAACATGTCTCTACATCAGATTAAAAAACTTAAATGCTTTGGAGAGTAATACTTTTTTTTGGGGAAATGTAGTTACAATTCCATAAAGTGTAAGGTATTTAAAAGTTTTAGCAGTTAGACTTTACTTGTTTTCAGACAACAGTATTTGTTATTATTTTTTAAAAATATATTTTTATTGATTCCAGAGTAGAAGGGTAAGGGAGAGAGAGAGAAACATCAATGATGAGACAGAATCATGGATTGGCTGCCTCCTGCACGCCCCCCACTGGGGATCGACCCCACAACCCGGGCATGTGCCCTTGACTGGAATTGAACCCGGGACCCTTCAGTCCACAGGCCGAGGCTCTATCCACTGAGCAAAACCGGCTAGGGCATATTATTACTATTTTTAATCCTCACCGAAGGATGTTTTTCCATTGATTTTTAAGGAGAGTGGAAGAGAGAGGGGAAGACAGAAATATCGATGTGAGAGAAACATTGATTAGTTGGTTGCCTCCTGCACGCCCAACCAGGGCCCGGGCAGGGTGGAGCCTGAATCCGAGGTAGGTGCCCTTGACAGGAATCGAACCCAGGACCCTTTGGTCTGCAGGCTGACGCTCTATCCACGGAGCCACACCAGCTGGGGCAACAGTATTTTTGTTTCAAGTTCTCAATCATCTTGGGAGAAAACACCAGTTTGCTTACCTTTTTATTTTTATTTTATTTAAATCCTCACCCTAGGATATTTTTTACCATTGATTTTTTTTAGTGAGAATGGAAGAGAGAGGGGCTGTTTACCTTACTTTTAAAAATTCTCACAAAAATCCAGAACATTTTTTTTTTTTTTTCAGAACACATCTTTGTATCAGCTTTAAAGAATAGGCCTGGTCATGCACCATATTTTTCACTTAATTGAAGTTCTCATGAATATTTTTTTAATGTTACTAACTTAGAATAGGATTCCTTAAAACATTAGTCCTCTGTGTTCTGAATAGTTTTATTTGTTTTCTCCCAAGTAGCTAACAGGAACAAAGCATTTTGAATGTTGGCTGAAAATGTTAAAAATGTCATTCTGAAGCAGTACAAATCTCAATTGAAAGAAACTTTATTTGAAAGAAACCTTTCATTTTAGCATGTGCTCAGAAATATGTATTGTTTAATATGTATGGTTTGTATTATGAAAAGTTAGGTCCGTTGCAGTTGGAATAAATGGCTTTGACATCTTTCCCTTAATTGGTAGTGAGTGAACTGTTTGAATTGGTTCCCACCAGTAGGTGCTTAATTACAGCATTCATAACATTTTTGCACAGTGAAGTGAACTGGCACAGTTCCTTGTCTGAAAGGACTTAAAGTCAGTTGAAATGACTTTCTCAACGAGCATTTCTCATCAGAACCATAGAGCACAGGAGATGGAGAGACCGTTTTCTCAGTTTTCCCGTGCCCTCCTCCAAGCATAGCAGATATTTTATTGGTCACATTGATGTCAGGGAGCCAGGGCTTACTTCTCCAGGTAACTGGTTGAGAAAGGCTGCAGCCCCCTAACCTCCGTTTTCCTGGGTTCTCCCTGCTGCCGCTGGTGCTCTCTGGTACACTCTTCTCCCTGCTCTTCTGCTGGCAAACTCTGGTTTAACCTCTTGCCACACCGATCTCCCTGCTTCAGAGGAGAGGACACCTTTCACAGTGCTCAGCTCACTTGCATTTACCTCTTGAGCATGTTACTTGCTGGATGTAAGCTTCTCGAAGGTAGGCCTGTTTTTTCTATTCAGAGAGAGGTTTCCCTCACCTCAAGCACACCCAGTAACAGTGCTGAATTAATATAGGAGAGAGCCATTCCGTGCTATTACTTTACAATCAAGTAATTACACACCACAGTAGCTGTTAGGACATTTTAGCAGTGTTTTTAAAGTGTAGAACATTTCAAATGACACAGGCATGATAACCTCTCATGCACCCATCACCCAGCCGCACAGGCTGGTGTTTCACTGAATTATTTGAAAGCAAATCCTAAAGGTCATATAATTTCATGCTTAAGTATTTCAGTGTTTACCACTAACTGCTAAGGACTTTAAAAGCAAAACATCAATATGCCATCACACCTAAATAGTAACAGTTCCTTAATATCAGGTATCCTGCCAATGTTCAGATTTCCCTAAGTGCCTAATGCTTCTGCAGTTTACATGAATCAGAATGTAGACAGGGTCTTTAAAGTTTTACATGGACCAACGGGAAGTAATGACTCCATCTTGGTTCATGGGCGAACAAGCAGTTTCAGCAGATGTTTATTATAATCTGATATGAGCTGATAGCATTAAAAAAGTTATGTTGATGATATGGAGTTCTCTGACGAAAGTTCTTAAAAAGAGCAATTGGATTTTGTCAAAAGACAAGTTTATAGCAAAGTAAGATCCCCAACTCAGGAGCCCTCGTTTGAATTCTGCCTTGCCTTTCCTTAGCTCTGTGACCTATGGCTTGTTATGCAACCCGTGCCTGGATTTCTTCATCTCTAAACAGCAGTAAAAAGAGAGCGTCCCACATAAGGTGGTTTTTGTTTTTGTTTCTAGGCTTTGAAAATGAAATGAGTTAATGTGTGCAAACACTGAAAGTACTTTATATTAAATCCTACATAGTGTTAGTGATTGTTGTACTGTTAGGTGAATTTACACTTACAACATTGGTGTTAGCCTCTTAATTTAAAGATCCGCCCATGGGCGATGGTCATCCCAGTCCAAGATGAGCATAGGGAAACAGGGCTAGGTGTGCCAAGTCAAAACTTTCTATGGAGGAACCCTAAAAGAGAAAAGGCTACAATGAACGTACTTTATAAAACATCTTTCCTTGTGATAAAAATAAACAAACATGCTGTTACTGTTTTGAATGGAGTCTTTCTTATTTTCCAGAATTGTGACAATCTCTATTGACCCAGGAGGGAATGCTACAGGAGTACACTGAGAATAAGAAGTTAATTTCTGCCCTAGCTGGTTTGGCTCAGTAGATAGAGCATTGGCCTACGAACTGAAGGGTCCCAGGTTCGATTCCGGTCAAGGGCACATGCCTGGGTTGCACGCTTGATCCCCAGTAGGGGGCGTGCAGGAGGTAGCGAATCAATGATTCTCTCTCATTGATGTTTCTATCTCTCTCTCCCTCTCCCTTCCTCTCTGAAATCAATAAAAATATATTTAAAAAATAAGTTAATTTCTATTGAATCTACTCTGTTTAAGAAGGCAGGGAGTCAGTAATCCTTTTTAGGAAAATTTTTGTCACAAATGATTCAAAGTGTGTGTGGCAGAAATTGCTTCAGTTATCTTAGATTCATCCATGTGGAGTATCTTATGTCCTGATTCTGTTAATTATTGCAATGTTTTATTTTTTTATTCCTCTACTCTTTGCAGGAATGTACGTTATAAACAAAAGAATCTTTAACTTCCTGATACACCATTATAAGGAAGGGTGACTTACATTTACTGAGCTGTTGTTTTTATATGTATATCATTTCTTTTAAATTAATAACCTTCGGTATTTATTAGTTTTTATTTTACAGAGTAGGGAACATTTTTTTTCCTCTTTTTACTTATCTACTTTATTTTTAATTTGGATCCAGAGTAGACAATAGGACAGTTGTGTCAGTTAGAATGACACAACCACATTCTTTTGTTGTGACCCATTGCTCATAGTAACTGAAGATACACTGACTCACAAGTATTCTAACAGACTGGAATGGAATGTAGGCATGTCCATGAGTGAATATAATTAGGCTAGTTTTGTCCGGGGAGTGATTTTATTGCTGGAGAAATGATCAGACATAAATTTGTCTATCACCTTTGAGTTTATGCAAGACTTTTATTTAAAGGGGGAAGGTTTTGTGTTTTGGAAGGCACTTGGTTCATAAATCACCCTGTCAGTGCCAGAGCATTTAGACTTTGTGTCACTTTTTTCAATGAACTTTAAAAAAATTTTTTTTTTATTGATTTTAGAGATGGGGGAAGAGACAGAGAAATAGAAACATCAATCTACTGCCTCCAGTACATCCCCTACTGGTGGTCCAACCCATAACCCGGGCATGTGCCCTGACAGGGAATCGAACCCTTGACCACTCTGTGCACAAGATAATGCTCAACCAACGGAGCCATACTGGCCCGGGCTCAATGAACTTTAAGTTAGAAATCATCCTAAGGAGAGGAGAGAGTTGAGCTTTCTTCCCAATTTAGCTCATGCTTCAGAGGATTTAAAAAAAAAAGTTATTTTAATTAAGGAATGAAAAGGTCAGATGGAGTTTAATTTCTTAGTCTGCCAAGTACTATACTGTGCTTGCAGGGCAGTATATAAACTCCAGCCAGTAATCTGCCCCCTCCCTCAGTTGTGTGCATGTGGCAGAGAATGAGTTGTTTTACAGGTCTCGTGTTTGTTTTACCACAATTCAAACAGGAGCGTCAGAGTTCATAAAAGTATTGATAACTTTATGAAATGGCTCAGATTTCAACATAAAACTTTTATATTGACATTTAATTAAGTAAAACATTAAGATTGTTTAGTGTATTTTTTTCCTCTTAGGAAGTGTCTTATGTTTTCAGTTATCTCTTGCTGTTTACCACCCCAGATCTCTGGTTGTATTGTGTTGCTGCTGTACCAAATTACCACAGACTTGGTGGCTCAGAATCACACCTTCACTTTGTAGGTCAGAAGTCTGATGGGTTTTACTGGGTTAAAATCAGGGTGCAGACAGAAAATCAGGGTGCAGACAGGATTGGGTTCCTTTGGAGATTCTAGGGGAGAATTTATTTCCTTACCTTCTCCAGCTTCTGGCGCCACCTGCACTTCTAGGGTCCTGTCCCCCTTCATCCACCTTCACAGCCACCAGTCACGTCACTCTGACCTCCGCTTCCCCTGCCACCTCTTCTCTGCCTCTGAGTTTCCTGCCCCTCTTTTCCCTTATCAGGGCCATTGTGATTACATCGGTCCAGATAACCCATGATGGTCTCTCCATCGCAAGATTCTCAACTTCGTCACACCAGCAAGCTTCCTTTGGCCACGCAACATATTCATAGTTTCAGGACATCAGGATATGAGCATCTTTGGAGAACATTATTCTGCCCACCTACCTTAGTGCTTAAAACAATGACCACACTATTTCTTTTTTTAAAAATATGTTTCTACTGATTTTTAGAAAGAGGAAGGGAGAGGGATGAGAGAGGAACATCCTCAATTGGCTGCCTCCTGTACATCCCCTACCGGGGATGGAGCCCACAACACAGGCATGTGCCCTGACTGGTAATGGAACCAGTGACCTCTTGGTGCATGGGTTCTCCTGTTTGCTTACCGCTCAATCCACTGAGCCACACCAGCCGGGCTTTATTCCCCCTTTAATGTTCATATTACATCAGGTGTAATTTTGACATTGGGGTGCTCATTTAGTGGATCTTGAATGCCTTAGGATTTCACTTTTGAAATGAATTCAACTCTTTTTCTGCATGGCAGTTGGTGATTTTAGAAGTTACCTGAAGTTTAGTGAGCCTTTGACTAATCCGTATTTTAAATATTATCTATGTAGAAACTACTCGAACGAACCCGTGCCAGGCGAGAAAATCTCCAGAGGAAGATGGCCGAGAGGCCCACGGCAGCACCGAGGTCTGTGCCTCTCGCCAAGCGCGCCAGAGAGCCGCTCGCAGAAGCCAGTAACCAGCAACCCCTGTCCGGGGGGCAAGGTAAGACTGTGAGGTGATGGAAGGAGAGGAGCCCCAAACATTTCCTCGTGCATGTGCAAGAATCAGGATCTGGGGGAGGCAAACGTAGCAGCCCCTGGGGAACGACCAGCCTTCTCCCTCTGTGCCAGGATTATGTTCTATGTTAGGGCCATAGCAGAGTTTCCCTTAACAAATAGTTCAAATTAATCGGTTGAACTTTATTTTCCTCAATGCAAACTTATTCTGAGTGTGGAATAGTCTGGAGATAATCCTTAGTATAACTTTAAAGCACAGGTAGAAAAAGAGGTTACAGAGATAAGGGCTTGGGACTGGCTTACAGTTATTTTGGAAACTAACCATAGAATGATAATTTATTTTCACATATTTATGTTAAGGGAAGGGAGGGGAATACGTTACATATAGATGGTATTCGGCCAGGAAAATAGAGGCCTGGCCCAGTCCAGGATCTTCTGCTTTCGCTGTGACATGGGTTTGTACAATCACATAGTGAGTGCTGTGTGCTTGAAAACCAGAGGTTGGGACTACATTTTGATGCTAAAATGTAGGTATTTACTGTTGTTCACAAGAACTGTAAACATAAAGGATTCTGTTTCTCCAGGTGGTATTGCATGTTAAAATAGAAACATGTTAAAAATGATCAGATAGGTCAATGGAAAATGAGTTACAGAAGAGTAGAAAGTTTCATGCTGTGTTTTACTTAGATGGATGTTGATAAGGGCAGTCATAGCCTCTTACTAATACAACTTTGGTCACTGCCAGAACAAGAATACTTGGTTAGACAACCGGTGAAACTGACCTCTTAGGAAATTTACATTCTGACTTTTTAAAAATATTAACTTTCCAGGAGATACATTAAAACTCATTCCTGGGTTGAAATCATATGCCTTATGTTTGGATTGCTCCCTTTTATTTTAGGACTTGGAATTTGTTTTCTAGGTGTTTGTGGAAGTTTAAAATGTGAAGTGTGGTTAAGCACTTGTGCTGATGAATTTGTTTGGTATTGACTAGATAATTCAGTCACATTTTTGGTTCCCTGTCTCTTTCCTATACCTCAAGCCAGGTGCCCTGGTATCCTTGACTTATTATTGTCTGTGAAAGATTGTTTTAAAAACAGAAAGTCTGGTTCCTACCCTTAGCTCAGCTGTGTCCCTTTAGGCAGGGAGCTAAATTCCTCCAGCTTGATTTTTCTTGTCTAAAAGTGAGGTGATCAGGCTGTGACCTTTAACAGGCTCCGGAACATTTGCTCATTCTGTGTGTGCACTTTTAATTTCCTGCTGTTGTAAACTGTAAAGTATTGTGCATATATATTGAGAATGTTACTTGAATTTACTTTCATTCAGGTTTTTTAAATCTTAAATTATTATTTTAAATCTCTCATCAGCTCTTTGTAATACTTTAAGCAATAAAAATAAATAAATAAAAAACAAACAAACAAACAAAATCTCTCATCAGATTTCTAAGTTATTGAAAGCAGAATTTTACATTTTTCTTGTAAGTAAAATCATTGAAAGGATTAGTGCAGTGGTTCTCAACCTTCCTAATGCCGCGACCCTTTAATTCAGTTCCTCATGTTGTGGTGACCTCCAATTTCATTGTTACAAATTGAACATAATTAAAGCATAGTGATTAATCACAAAAACAATATGTAATTATATATGTGTTTTCCGATGTCTTAGGCGACCCCTGTGAAAGGGTCGTTCGACCCCCAAAGGGGTTGTGACCCACAGGTTGAGAACCGCTGGACTAGAGAAACGTGTTTTATTAAGTTGTGAAGTACCTATGGCAGTTGTTTGTGCTGTGAGGAAGTATGGAAGTTTGAAATTTTCCCCTTTTTAATCTAGAGAAATCTTGTACAAAACCATCACCATCAAAAAAACGCTGTTCTGACAACACTGAAGAGGAAGTTTCCAACTTGGAAAATGCACAACCGGTTGAGCCAGCTTCTGCCAAACCTTGTTCTCCAAGTCCTGTGTCCCCTCAGGCACAGCCACGGGCACCGGCTCGGGCCAGTGATTCCCCGCCCGCCACCCAGGCATCGCTGCTGGGCCTGCAGAGAGCGCTGAACACCAGGCCCGAGGCCTCTGCAGCCTCCTCTGTTAAAACACGGATGCAGAAGCTGGCAGCCCAGCGGCGCCACTGGGATAATGATGAGGTGACAGGTATGAATGACATGGATGGGATGTCCCTTAAATCTGTCAGTAAGATTCACCTTGGTATGTTGAAAATCGTATTTATCAGTTAACACATGAAGGTAACTGCTTTTGCTTCATCTATATCCCAGTACGGTCACTTGCACATAGTTCGCTTATCAGTAGTATGGGCACCACACTGAGGAGGGACATGTTTTTGCAATTTCAACTTCAGGTGTGTTATCTGCAGTGTCTGGGGTTTAGCCAAAAGGAGGGAGGCAGTTGGTTAAGGAAGTTTTGTTTTTCTTTTTTTAATTTGAATTAAGTATCATCTGATTTGAAAAGATATTGTCACATTTAAACAGCTCGGTACTCTCATGCATTGGACTAGAGCAGGGGTCCTCAAACTTTTTAAACAGGGGGCCAGTTTACTGTCCCTCAGACAGTTGGAGGGCCGGACTATAGTTAAAAAAAAAACTATGAACAAATTCCTATGCACGCTGCACATATCTTATTTTGAAGTAAAAAAACGAAACGGGAACAAATACAATATTTGTATTTGCATGTGGCCCGTGGGCCGTAGTTTGAGGACCCCTGGACTAGAGCTTTGGACCAGTTCTAAGCCTGTTAACCTCATTAAAAATCCTGAGTGGAGTGGTGCTGGTATTTGCACGTACCGTACATGCATCTCTTGAGCATGGTCATGAATTCTTTTTCTGAAAACATTTTCAGATGATACCCCTGAAAGCTCACTCATCCCAGCGATGCCAGCGGAGGACAAGGCGGCCTCCCCTCCCAAACCAGCAGAAGCCTCGGCAACTCCCGTGGGGAGGAGGGGCCGTCTGGCCAACCTTGCTGCCACTATTTGCTCCTGGGAAGATGATGTCAGTCTCTCATCGGCAAAGCAGAACAGTGCCCCAGGACAGCCTGGCACCACTTGTTTGTCCAAAGCTTCCTCTGCCAGCGGAGCATCTGCTGGCATCAATGGCCGCAGTGTTGCGCAGGAAGCCGCATGCTGCTCCCCGAGGGGTGACCATGCCTCTCTGAGCAAAGCCCCGGCCTCGAGAGCCGCAGCCGCCTCCTTGCCTACAGGTGCCATTTCCAGCGCTGCGGTGAGTACACACAACTTTCAATACAGGAGCCTTTCTTCTTTGTTAGGAGAGATAATGTACATTTACGTGTAGGTCTGTCTTTTTATAACAGCTGCAGTGTTTTGTAACTTTTAGAATATTGGTTTCACAGAAAGTAAAAGTCATAAATTTGGTACCCCCACCCCCAGATAAGTGAGCAGTTAAGAACTAGTGCAACTCCAAAGTGTGCACCATGACATGACGGAGCCTCTTTGTCAGGGAGAGCCTGAAAATGACTTTCTCCGTCAGGGTGCGCATTTCGGACAACTAGGAGCCGTAGTGACCAGGTGGCAGTTGTCAGCGGTGGGTACAGTGCTCTCACGTATGTCTTTTTGAAAGGTTCCCTTGTGCATGTGCTACCTCAACATTTTTTAAAAAAAATCTTTTAAAAAAACAAAAAAGAAAAAGAATGTTGTGTACTGGGCATCGTCATTGAGTGTAGCGCTGGGATCTGGAATTAGCCTGCATGCAGTCCCAGCCCTGCCACATCATTAGAAGTGTGGCCTTGGACAAGGCTTCGTCTTGCAGAACCTAGAAGAGGGTTCTGGGGAGGGTGAAGCGAGGTGATGTGCATAGAGCACTTAGCATAGTGCTTGGCATGTAGTGAGTACTTCCTTTATTATCATTAGTTATCAAGTACATGATGCAATAAAAATACATATATGTTTTTATTTATTTTAAAGGGAGAGAGAAACATGAATTGGTTGCCTCCCGTAGCACCCCGACCAGGGTCTGAACCCACAACCCGGGCATGTGTCCTGACTGGGAATTGAACCGGCGACCTTTCAGTGCACAGGACGGTGCTCAACCAGCCAATCAGCTGAGCCACACTGGCCAGGGCTATAATACGATTATGTTAAAATAATACTGACAATTAAAATACAAAAATATGTAATTCGGTTTAACACAGTTAAAATTCATAAATATAATAGTGTGATACTATTAAAGAAATTGTTTTTTAAAATAGTGACTCTGTCCCTCATACTAAATTACCCATCGCTCTAGTATGCAGCCTGAACTTTACAGCATTATTTGAATTACAGTATTTTCAAAGTTGATTTTTTTTTTCAAACCTTTCACATTGGCTTGATCTATTAGGTAACAACAACATTTTTTCATGAGTTTACATAGGCTACCAAGCAAATAGAATTTGCGTTGTTGTTATGGGACTATCTTTAGGTATTATGAGTGCTGTATTTATCCTAAGTGTTTTCATGTTTCAGAAAGCTGCTGCTTCCCCTGTGAAAGCTTCTATATCTGTCACCAATGCTAAAAACTGTGAGGTACGAAAACCTGAGCGACTTCAAAAAACTCCTGCTAGTCCTTTGAAAACTGAGGTATCGAAACCAATCGGGAAATCAGCTGAATCCCAGACAGTTCGGCCCAAAGAAGAAGTAAATAGAGAAACTTGTCTGCAGTCTCACTCTAAAGACAAATCTACAACACCAGGTTATGTATTTTTAAAAAAAATCTAAAGTTTTCAGGGTTTCTGTTCTCAGCATTTTAAATACCCAGTTTGAATGGTACAGGGTTGGTTTGCCAGGGCAAGTGCTGAATGCTCGGATGAGACGTCTTCAAATTCAGCTTTAATTGGTAGAGTGACTGTTTATTAGTGTAGATCAATCCAGTTACTGGTCAAAGAAGTTTAAACATGCTTTTTCCTTAGAATGACTGTGCTAGATACTTTCCTCTGTACTTTTTTTTAAAATATATTTTTTTATTGATTTCAGAGAGGAAGGGAGAGATAGAAACATCACACCCCCTACTAGGGATCAAGCCCACAACCCCCGCATGTGCCCTGACTGGGAATCGAACCCATGACCTCCTGGTTCATGGGTTGATGCTCAACCACTGAGCAACACCACCTGGGCATATATTGTTTACTTTCTGAATGAATAATCCTGGTAGAGTCAAAGCACTTTGGAACTGTACAGGCATTTAGAACTTCCCCATAGAAATGATAATGGTTACTTATTCTGAATAGCCTCCAATAATGTGGTGTTTTCTGTAGGAGCGGGAGTCAAGCCGTTTCTGGAGCGCTTCGGAGAGCGCTGTCTAGAACGCAGCAAAGACAGCCCCACGCGGAGCACACCCCACAGGACCCCCGTGGTCACTCCAAACACCAAGGCCATCCAGGAAAGACTGTTAAAGCAAAAACACATCTTCATCTACTACCCACGTAGCCCAGCGGCTCAAGCAGGTGCGTACATCCTACTGCCTTCACATTACCTATGCCAAGGTCTCAGCATAGAACGTATAGACATCAAGTCATGTATTCCCATACCATTCCTTTTGACTGAATAAATAGCATCTTGGTTCTCTGTATTGTGTATTTCAAATTAGAAATACAATTGTTCTGTATTCCTTTATATTGTGACTTTTTTCCTCTTAAAACTGAAGACAAGCAAAGTTAGTAGTGTTTGGATATTATTCTTAAACCTACTATTGGCTTTTGTGTAAAATGGAGCTTTTGATGATTTTAGGAACGTGAAAAAGAACTAGCATGTCTTCGAGGCCGATTTGACAAGGGCAATTTATGGAGTGCAGAAAAAGGCGAAAACTCAAGAAGCAAACAACTAGAAACCAAACAGGTACTGTAGACAAATAGGCGAGTGGTGATGAAAGGAGGAAGGAAAGCTCTGGCTCTCCATGCCAGGCCTCTTTATTGGTGGGCGCCACTAAAGTGCATGGTATCATTTAATCCCCACACTAACCCTGGAAGGTAACACTCCCCCCTTTTCTGGGTGGGGGACTACGCCCCAGGGAGGTAAATCACTTGTGCAAATGACACAGCTGGTGTGTGGGGAAACCAGGGCTTCTAACCAGACCTTCTGACCTTGGCCTCCTCCTTTACCCCCACGTTTATTCTTGGGCCCCATCCACAATGGAAGGATTCAGCTTAGTGAGTTTGTCTGGCGCTGTTTTCAAAGCTATGATTTACATCTTTGAGAATGAATGCCATTGCTTTTCATTACCACCACTCATTCTTTTAGTTACTCAGCTAATGTCTGAGAGCCTATTGTATACAAACCCAGAAGCTTTTTACTCTCCAGGTGCGCTCAGCCCATTGTTCTCACTTCTGAAATGCACCTGCCCTGCCTGCCCCTTCTCAAACTTCTTGCTTACCCTTAAGACAGTCTGCAGCACAGTGTTTGATAATGTGCTGTGTGTTTGTACATCAAACTGGCTACTAGCTGAGTGTGCAAGTTACTTAACTCTCCTGTGTCTCAGTTTTCTCATCTGTAAAATGGAGACATTAGTACCGATCCTAGAGAGTTACTGGGAGGATCAGATGAGGCAATGATGTGAAGTGTGTAGAATAGAAAGATGACTGACACATGGGAAGCTCTATGGAAGTATTCGCTGCTGTTCTTATTTCTTCTCTTGCTTTAATCACAACCTTTTCAAAAGCAAGCAAGCAATGAATGTTTCTTTTGCATAGCCTTATAAATATTTTAAAAAATGACTCAGATAAAGGAATTTTTTTCTTTTTCCTTTTCTTTTTTTAAAAAATACGTTTTTATTGATTTTAGAGGGAGAGGAAGGGAGAGGGATAGAGAGATAGAAATATCGATAAGAGAGAAACATGTATAGGCTGCCTCCTGCATCCCCCCTC